CAGCTGATGCTACTCGGTTTGCATGGGAGGAACTGAACCGTGTTCCCGGAGCTGCTACTGTGTAACTGCGTTTAATTTACATGTAATTAGGAGAGGCACGTGAGACCACTTCGGGCACGTGCCAAATGCTCAATTCTACTTGGACACAACATCATATGCATATGTGAACAGGGATCTGCTAATTTGGCTCGAGATTAATATTGATAAATTCCTGTATTAAGTTTCCAATTGGAATTTCAGGAAATGCTTCTTAATGGTGGCCCAGATAAATTCATCGGTCAGATGATCATAATCAGGTAATCAATTTTATAAGCAAAGCAAAGAAAAGTAACCATTAAATAATTCTATAATTATTAGTTTTATGTTTTGACAACTTAGGAAACTGCCGCAAAGAAAAATGCTCCAAATAACATTTCTAGATTCAATATTCCATTACGAAAGTATTAGATATTTCCTCTTTATCTACATCATGTCGAATATATAATTCATAATTTTAGGAATATAATTAATATTTATTTTGACTTAAGAAAAATAATAGATATTATTAAGTTACACTAAACGTTTTAAAACTCTTACTTTATATCCCCTTACTTCCTATTAAAAAGTCATCGAGTGCGTACTCCCCACTGTTGCCAGATGTACGGGCTTTGTATACTCCGGCTTGTAGTGAGCAGCACTAACCACTAGTCCACCGTCGGCGATGTATATTTTAATATTTTTGGAATTATTACGAAGCCCACCACTTTTTTGGCAATGATACTAGGGGGTATCACTTCTCTAAAACAAATTTATACACAGTGTTTTTACTATCTTAAAATGAATTAACCAAAAATGACTAATTGTCGTAGCGAAAAAGAAGCCACTAATAATTCTAGTGAACAGAAATTTGTATCTCGGACATTTAGTATGCGAGATAAATTTATTTAAAGAACCAAGTTTTGGTTTGGTTCAATTACACAGGCCCACATGAATAAGACCATGATATTCTTATGTATTTTCACCCGCTGAAACTGAATCTAAACTTTGTTTTGCTCCTATACGTTGGGATTTTCTTATACAGTGGTCCACGGTTCATGTTGCAAGAGAAAAAACTTTTTATTATGCGTTTAACAAATTTATGCTTGTCAGTGGCGTAGCTATCATAGGGCCAGCTGGTGCAGTGCACCAGGGCCCCGGAGCTCAGGGGGCCCTCCAAACTAAGCTTTGAAAAGAGCGGGTCAGCCAATTCGCCAGCTCCTGAAGCTAGAAAAACTCGACCCTGCTCACAAGATTTTTTTTTATTTAATGATTTTAAGTGAACATCAACAATCAGAGAACTCCAGATTTGAGACTTTCAACACATTCGCCAAGCGTCCTCGATAAGCATGTGCTATTTGTTATTGCTATTTGGTAGTTTGTTTGAGTACGCCCATTGCATCAGCGATAAGCTCTGAAGCTCATTCCTGCTTAAAATACCCCATAGAGACCCTGTTCAAACCGATAGATATTTGTATCGGAATGTATGGTGTTTCTATAGGGTGTATCGGTATGTATAGGACCCATAGTTGGGATTTATGGTTGTTCTATAGGGATATCCACCCTTAATTTATTTGCTATTGGTTTCAATGGGGAAAATACACATAAATGTAGAAATTAGTTTTTTCCCCATAGGACCCCATAGGTTTTAATAAAATTTTGTCAACTGTTTTATGGTTGTTCTATAGGGATATACCTATATATCCTTCATTGAGTTATTTGCTATCGGTCTCAATACGGAAAATGTAAAAGTTATGGTGTGCCTACACTGAAAAAAATAACCTGTTGAAACAACAAAAAAAATATTAATTCAACTCTTTATGCACTTTAAATACAAGCAATGGTTTTTGCACGTTTACTTAACCATCTAAAAATGTCAAATTGTATTGTTTAATTGAACAACAAATAACAGTCAAATGAACAAAATAAGAATATTTGTTCTAATCTCCTAATTTGGTTAATTTAACATTCTTAGGGTGTTAAGGTAAATTTCTTGAAATGTCCAGGTAACCTTTTTAGCATATTCACTTAACACCAATAAAATGTTAAATTAACATTCTGAAAATGTAAAATTCTTTAAGGTTGGTATCCAAAACAAAATTATGGAAATAATATATTATTATATATAAATAGAAAGAATTGAACCTTCACCTCGCCCAGAGTTTTTGTTATGAGCGTGTTCCACCCATGATACATCTTTGTATCATGTGTTCCACCTACTTCAAATACCGACAGACTGTTTCGCCCTGTATTGAGGGTCTTAACAGTGTCGGGCAATATGGTGTAGTGAAAGTTCTACTGTGGAACACACCTTAAACAAACAGATATCTCATCTTATATACACCTAATCGTAAGCTAACTAAGGCGAGATGTAAGAAAACGTCATTGTCTAATGACGTGGCGTGAGTGTTCGAAGCGCCATTCTCGGCAATTTTATGAATGCAAATTTTACATTTTAAATTTTAAAGTAACATTTTAAATTTGTTAAATGAACAAATTTAAAGTTTTGGATTAAAGAGCAACTAAACGTTAATTTAATAGTTTTTTTAGGTAATCCTAAAAATTTCAGTAGTTGATTCAACAAATTCCAGCTATTAAATCAAAGTACGATAAACATTTTAATTCAAAATATTAGTTTATGTTAAATTAATATTTAAACTGTCAAATGAACAAATAAACTTTGACAAACTCTGACTTTTGCTTTAACACCAAAATATAGATTAATCCAATAGGTTTTTTGTTGAAACAACATTTTTAAAAATGACATTTAGGCAAATGTTAACTCAACTACATTATTTTTTTCGGTGTATAGGTAATTTCCTATAAATTTTCTATCGGGCCGTATTCGGAAAAAAACCATGGACAAATGCACATATTCAGGGCCGTACCGAGGCACACTTTTTGGAGGGGGTGGAGACTATAAAAAAACCAATTTATTTTTTTATATACATTAAGTAAAAAAAGTATACGGTATAAATATAAAAATGCAACCTACTAGGTAGGTAAATCTAAAAAAATTAAAACAAAATCCAAATTTAAGCTACTAGGTTAAACATAAAAAAATAGGTAGTAGTAGGAACGACAACATTTTACTTTAAAAAAAAATATAAACGAAAACAGTTTAAAAATATAAACGAAATAACGAAAACTATACAACTATTGAAGGACTCTTTATAACAAATAAGTACTGAGTAATGTACTCACTTACTTTCAACCCTCAGTATCCTATTTTTTAATTTGGCCCAAGAGTCGATCGCAGTTGATAATTCTATGTTATCTGTTATATCGCGCTCGCTTTTCAGGCTCATTAACGAATCTAACCGATCGATCGCGATCGTTAGACATGGTGGTACGTAGCGCGTTTTTTAAATAATTTAAAGTGCTAAATGAAAACTATCTTTTAAAACATATTTTTGTTCAATAGCAATTTTCATCACCTATTCCATGGAAGCCGCCTTTTTCTCTATACAAATATCAAAAAATACCTCTAGTTCGCCCTGTAAACTACCTGGATTGGGTTTATTGGAAGGATATAATAACACCCCCGCTTCAATATCCATAATAGCTGATTTGGACAATGGGACAGAAAATATGTCTATTAAAGTTTGTATACTTTTTAGGACTTCAGATACATTTTTTTCCAAAAAACTGATTAGAACATCTAAAACTTGAAAGAATTCGTGCCGATAAAATTCGTTTGTATCCATGAGCGCGGCATTTTCATTTTGTTGGTCCAACCTTTTTGGAATAACTTTCCGTCGATGATGTCTTCTAAAATCTTTGTCTGCGTTGACATGTAATGATGCAGAAAATTTTTTGGAGGCTTCAATTAGGTTATTTACATCATCGGGACTTGATCTTACAGTTTGCAGGGTATTATTTATAATTGAAAATGCATCAATAACATTTAAATTGTTGGATTCTAGAATTTCGGTAACAACCTTTATATAAAAAAATAAACAACAAATAAAATCAAAATTTAAAATGTGTTTAAAAAGGCCATATGCTTTTCCTTTAGTACTACTGTCGACGTTGATATTTATAGAAATATTTTCAAAAAAGTTGTATCGATACTTTAGTAGTAATAGTTAAAATTTTCAGTAGTTTTATCATGTAGGTAAAGTGCTGTAAAGCGTGGATAAAGAATGTCTTTACCTACCATTAGCATGCTCTTTCGAAGTCGATGGGATTGATTCTCGTTCTCTCTTTTTTTGACTTGCTGCCAATGTAAATGGATTTTCCGGAACAGCAACACGTTTAATTTTAACCAAATTTCACAAATATTTTTCTCATGCATTTTTTTATAGTCCTTGTTAAACATAGATCCACATAATGAGCATTTTACTAGACCTCGGCCCGGTCTAGCTTTCTTTTCCATATTAAAAAAACAAATTAATTCCTATTTATTGACACTAGTTTTACTTAGCTTAGATAAGCTTCAACTAAATAATAATCTAGAAAAATAGGACGCCGAAAATTGCGGTGCGTAAAAAGAGTCAAACGCCGCCAAAGCCAAAGACAAAGCCGGGAGGCGGTGCCGACTTTGTTTGAAATATAATGTCCTTAAATAAAAACAGGGTTGTCAAATAAAATTTTCTTGACGGTAACGATTATAGTAGTTTTGTAATATGTTTACTTCAAAAATTATATTTTGTTTTATTTATTGTGATGGGTTGGTTGGTAGGGTAGCCTACCCTGGGTAGGTATACCCAACTAAACGACCCAAATACTATAGATTTTGCCAACCGTGTTTGGATTTGGAACCAACTGCCTAGACTCTCAACTTGATCGAAAACGAAAAATAGAGAAAGTTTTTCTGAACTTACGTTTAATTGCCAAATGATGAGCTACGCTGTTCTATCATTCTGTGGTTTTTTTGTTGAACGTGCTGCGTAATCTTTAATCTACATTGACAAGCAATTTACGAGTACGAAAACCCCGGTAAGTATTCCGAATTTATAAAATTTAGTTGAAAATTGTGAATTATGGAAAGAAAAAAGGAACGTAGCGGAGCTTCAAAGCGGAAACAACGTCAGGAAAGAGAAGCATGTGAAAAAAAATTGCCCAAGCTAGACAGCTTTTTTACGAAAACACTTTGTGCTACAGTTCCTTCAGCAGCCGAAATATCGGCCAAAAGTGACAAATGTTTATTTACTGCTAGCGTGGACACGGCTGTGTCAGTGAATGAAGTGACTCTAGAAGATCAGGAATATCAGGATTCAACAATTCTCATCAATGCCACCGCTGAAAATGACTATGTCGACGCTTCCGTGCAACCAACAGTAGATGAATCATCCATTTCTACAGCTTCGGAAGTTTTTGAAATTTCAACTGACTTGGGAAAGTTCATAAACAAGAAATTGAACGACACCGAAAAACGGCTGATTCTTGACAAGGGACCATTGAAACCTCCGGGACCTTTTCCGAAGGATCTCCACCAAGACCACAGGATCTTTTCAGAAACGTATTACGTTTCTACGTCAAAATATGGTCCAGTTGATCGTTTTTGGATATGCTACTCAAAAATGCTAGATGGTGCCTACTGCCAACCCTGCTGGTTGTTTGCTTCGCTAAAGAATGTATGGTGCACGGGCATTCGCGACTGGAGGCGTAAAAATAAACGTCAAAATAAAACGCAAAAATGACGTATATTTCTCGCCATTATCTGACCACTTATTTCATACCAGAATCAGACGAATATGCGACGTCATCAAAATGTTTCAAAATTCGCCAATATGTAGGCAACCCATGCATACCTCTCGCCTCTGTAGCACAATAGCACAGTCGTATAAAGGTGGAATGCCTTAAGCTGCTAAGTAAGAATTTCTTACTAAGACAAAATTACTGACCATACCGCTTCTGCTTGTAAGTTTGAAAGCAAGATACATCCTGGTTTTGAAGGGACACAGCTGGTCCCTTATGTTCTGTGGCTGGTCCTGTGGCCCACTCTGCGAAAAGTAAGCAGTGGGCCCCACTACTTACTTTTAGCAAAAGTTTTTTTATAAAATTTATTTGTTATAACAGCACTATTTTTGAGAAATTCTTCAACAACCAAAACACGTCAATTTTGTACCTTAAAGACGTCTAAAATGGACGTAAAGACGTATTAAAGATGTCTTTAAGAATCGTCTTAACCTCGTCTAACTAACACGTTTTAATTACGTCCACAAAATACGTCATAAAAATGTGACATTCCAACGTTGATAACTCGTATTATATACGTAAAAAAAACACGTCTTTTGGTTGAAATATTACCAAAATTTCAGGTGTTTTTCACGTTTTTCTGTATGCTGGGTAGGATCAACAAGGTACCTGAGCGCAACGATTCAAAATGAAATGATCGAGTGTTTGGGCACCAAACTTGAACATCATCTTGGATCAGATCAGGGCATCACCGTTTTTCACCATCATCATGGATACCACGCAGGACATATCGAAAGCGGATCAGCTTAGCATTGTCGTAAGATATGCAGTTATAGTCAGATCGGAAAATGGACAACCAATCGATATTGAGGTGGTGTTTTTCGGTTTCCACGCAGGAAGAAGTCTTCAGAGTAACCATTTTTAACAATGTACTCGACATAATAATCATGATTGCAATCAGTTAGATGCGCGTTTTTCTGGTATGAGTGCAGTTTGTAAAACGTTTGACTTTTTGATTCCAAAAAAATTGCTTAGCATGAATGAAATGATTTTACTCGCGAAATGTGATCATTTTCAGACGAAATATTCCGATATAATTGGACCCACTTTTTCGCTCTAATTTCTTAAAGTTTACCATCTGGTCCTTCCTCAATTGACGGAGACGTGGTCCATTCGGCAACTTTGCAAAGAAATTGTAACGAAATTTGGCGTGCTCGAATGTGACCTTACGGAAGTGTATACAGCAATGCTACTGTTTCATACAATTCCTGTTACTTCCGCGGCAGCAGAAAGATCTTTCAGTAAACTGAAGATTATAAAAAATTATTTACGAAACAGCATTGGACAAGATCGGCTCTGACATTTATCGTTAATTGCAATAGAAAATAAGGCGGCATCAAACTTGGATTTGAGTGAAGTTATAGACGAATTTGCAAAAATTAAAGCGCGCAAGAGGTTGTGAATTGGACAGGGAACTCTGTTAAAAATCGTTTTGTTTTGTCATCTATTGATCTCATCTGTATAATAAAGAAGTATGGATTAAGCTTACTAATTTCAACTCACTGTATCCTATATCCCATTTCCTATCTATCCTATCTATAATTTTGAAGGCCAAGTTGAAGTTACCATGAAAGGGGGTGAGGGCCCGATTTTTTCTCTATGCACCGGGGCCTTTGCCTACCTAGCTACGCCACTGATGCTTGTCTATAAAATGAGAATTTTAATAAAAATGTTTTGGATTCTTTGGAAACCAATTTTATGTACAAAAACATTTGATTTGACAGTAACTGTTTTCGATGACACGTGACTAAATGGAGAGCTGTGATTAGTCGTTTGGACTTGTTTGCCTCTGACTGGACCAGCAAACCTCAAGTTTTTGGGTTTCATTTTAAATCAATCATTTTTCTGTTCTGTGTGTCTGGAGGTCTGTGTGTCTTTGAATCAGTCACCGAATTAAAAAAAAACATAACTGGGTCAGAATTTCTCAAACGGGCCACCTGAATTAGGTCAAAATTAGTTTTTGTTTGTAGATACATTTTTTTGATAGTATTTTACATCACTAACACAAATCCTAAAGGATTTTGTAAAAAAAAAATTTTCAATTGACATATTCATGATATTAAAAGTCAAAGTTTTTAATAATTAAAAAATAAAAAAATTCATTATGGCTGAACTAATTATCCGATTCCAACGATATAACTAGCGTTGGAATCTTGTTTTGACATAGATTCTTTGTTATTTTTTTCAATTGTCCTATTTTCATTTAGGTCGATTTTTTTTTGTTTTTTTTATACCAAATTCGGAAATAATTGCCTTCTGCGCCAGCTATCGACTCGAGAAAAAAAACACATATACTCCAATCATTTCTCGAAATTATGCTGCTGAGAAAAAAAATGGCCCGCAGGTTGACAAAAAGTTATTCGTCCTTTTGTGGCCGCGCGCGGTGTCAGCTCACGCTCCGAACCGTGTACGCTGTACGCGCTTGTGACGCGACGTCTTACGGTGGTCTGGAACCTGCGGGCCATTTTTTTTCTCAGCAGCATAATTTCGAAAAATGATTGGAGTATATGTGTTTTTTTTTTCGAGTCGATAGCTGGCGCAGAAGCCAATTATTTCCGAATTTGTTATAAAAAAAACAAAAAAAAATCGACCTAAATGAAAATTGTACAATTGAAAAAAATAACAAAGAATCTATGTCAAAACAAGATTCCAACGCTAGTTAAATCGTTGGAATCGGATAATTAGTTTAGCCATAATGATTTTTTTTTATTTTTTAATTACTAAAAACTTTTACTTTTAATATCATGAATATGTCAATTAAAAATTTTTTTTTTACAAAATCCTTTAGGATTTGTGTTAGTGATGTAAAATACTATCGAAAAAATGTATCTACAATCAAAAACTAATTTTGACCAAATTCAGGTGGCCCGTTTGAGAAATTCTGACCCAACTTTAAAACTAAACACCGTGAAAAATCGAAATTGAAACCATTTTATAACTCTCCTCCCTGCGAAACTGCCTCATCCAAATTTCGTTAATGCATGTAAGGTTTAAGAGCACAAATAAAAAAATGAGCAAATGAAGTTAAATTATGTAGGATTTAGCGAAAAAAAGTTTTTTTGAAAAAAAATGTTCGTGCAATATTTTATCATTCTGGTGATACTAATTTCCAAGGATATATACACTTAATATGCACCTTGTTGCTGTTTATATTATTTTTTTTATTAATATATTAGTGAAATTTAATTTTTTTTCATTGGACTAATGTAAAAATAAAAAGTTGCAATAAAAATGATATTACTATTATTATTAATGACTTTATGTAAATAGGCTTTTTTGAATATGCCCACCCTACTCTGCCCAGCAACCAAATTTACAGAAGTCAAAAAAACACATTTGATCTTTTTAATCACCCTACCTTGTCTAATAGACAGGCTAGTTAGTGGAAAAAATGTTAACATTGTAAAGATATTGCCCTATACAATGTTTGCCACCTAATTGCGAAATATCCTGTTTAGCGCTACTTAATTTCTTTCAGCCTAAATGAGCCATAATTTCATAGTCCATTAATTATTTTGTTATTAAACTCTTAGGTAGGCCCTATAGGAATCTTGTGCTTTTACCACTGCGTGATTTTATTGTATTACCCAACAGGCTAAAATGCAAGCCGGTAATTATCTTTGAATTAATTTATACCACGAACCTGCATAACATACTAACGTGCTAAAACTTACATGATTTAAGTTTATCTTTGATTACATGCTGCTTAAGAAATTAAACCTAGCGAGTGCACATTTTGACTGCCATAAGTACCTATTTCCACTTCGATTTAATAAATTAAATGTAAATTCAACTTAAAATGCCATGGTAAGTTAAAAGAAAATTATAAATTTAAATTTAAAATTATATGTTTGTGTTTGTGTTTGGTTTTATAAAAGTTACATTTACAAAACCTAATATTATATAAATATAGGTAATTAGACACATAAAGTCAACCAAACAATAATAAATTGTAGTACATATAATCAATTCACGTACGGTAGCCCAAACTAACTGTTTTTTTTAATAACTCGGCTACAATGTCAATTATAATTATTATAATTATTATTCAATTGCGATTGCGATTCCGAAAATGGAACTTTTAAGCGGCCTAGTATTTCGAAAGTAAAAAACCAAGCATTCCATAAAATTTTGGAAAAAAAATTGGCAAATCTTATCAAAGAAAAGATTAATTTGACAGATGACCTATCCTCAAATTCAAAGACCCTTTTTGATCTTATACCGCAGAAAATTAAAGAATGCGGTGGTCAAAGCACGCATCACACGGCAAAAGTAACTAGGTAACCAGAATCTAGTTTGGGCTACCGTAGATGAATTGATATTATGAATATTATACAGGGTATCTTAAAAGTCAAGAAAAGTGGTGGATAGATGAAGGGATTCTTAGTCGAATTGTCTTTGCCGTTTTTCGATCAGACGCACCATTGTTTAGTTATTAATAAAACAAAATAGTCAATCACAGGCGTGTTTTAGCAGAATAATAATTAGAGGTGGGAGAACTGCAATGTGCACCTTAATCTTAGAAATTCTATATTAAATCGTAGTGTAAAATTACCTTATTTAGTTTTAGATTTTAGGTTAGTTTTAACTTGGGAAAATTTTAAATAGACTTCAGTCGGACTTCATCTCATGAGGTGCCCTACATTTCTCTCCATTTTATAATTTTTGATGATGTTCGTTCTAACGTTCTCCAGCTTTCTGGTATTATGTCGGCTTGCGCTCCAGAGTGTCGAGCTGATCCTCGGGCACGGTTTTAAACGACGCCCTCTATGTATTCCGACGAAAAAAAATCCAGAAGTGCTAAGTCTGGTGATCTTGGGGGCCGTTTCTTCCAAACCAGCGTCGCGACGTGGTTACTCAGCATTTAGGTGATCTCGGACACGACCTGAGTAATGAGCCGGTGCACCAATGGGATCTAAGTTGCTGAATTTATTTAAGAAGAAAATAAATTATTGTGGGTAATGTGGTATTTCCGTTGCTTTACCGAAAAACCCTTATCAATAAGAAATGTTTCATAGCAAGGCGTTGCTCATGACTACCATTGTGATTTTTTTTTCTTAGCCGTTAATTCCTATGCGATAATTAATTTTTTTTAAATCGGTGATTAACCCCTTGCAAAATTGTTAACTTTTATTTTATACTCTTTCTGTTTTTCGATAGATAAAAAAGCAAGAACAAAAAGCGATTGGCCTATTAATTTTCTTAAGTAAGTCTTAATAAGCTCAAGCTTGTTAAATGTTCTTTTTGGAGTAACAGTAGTAATCGTAAATAATGTAATTCTGCAGCACATCGTTACTACTTAATAAGTAGATTGAACAAATCTACACTGTCATTCCATCGTTGAAATCCTCTTTTATAAGATATATTAAATCTACAAAACTTTTAGATTTGAGGGTTATTTACATTTTATTTTTTGAAATGATTTCTTTTAGCCACTTTGATAAATTATTTTAGGTCAAGCAGGCCGAAAATGAGGGACAGCAATCTTATAGTTAATCCGAGGACCCACTGCATAGATTTTTTGCTTGAAGATTTTAAAATTGAGTGGTAATACAAAAGTAGGTATTTAACCTATAATCACATTGATTAAAATAATCTAAATTACTAAAAAATATAATTTTTGTATAGGTCTATTATAATAACCCAAGTGGATAATTTTAAAACAACTATATAAAACGTAAAGTGTCAATTGTTAAAGAATTGTCAAAATATTTAAAATTATTTAAAAAATCTTAAAAAATTATTCTCTTATTAATTTTAACCGTTAAAAAATATATTTTAAAATTAAATATAATTTCTATGTTATAAAATAATTTCATTATATTTATATTTTTTCGTGTAAGTAGGTTCTAAATTTGAACAAAT